TGTGTGTGTGTGTGACAGAGTGTGAGAGAGAGAGAGGAAGGGTGTGTTAGAGTCAGGAAGAGAGGGAGAGGGTGTAGGGAAGAGAGGGAGAGTGAGGGAGGGATATGACTGTGAGGGAGGGTGAGGGAGAGTGAGGGAGGATGAGGGAGAGTCGTTTAGCATACCTTCACGAACCTCTCTCTCTCTCTCAGTTGACCAGTTACCTGTACAAATGGCTCAACAGGTAAAGGCTTCTTCTAATGAGCCAATTAAAACTTGGGCCGTTCTGAGCAGCCAATCACATGCCTTTTTTCATCTTCAACCATCCATTAGCACTTAAGGTAGACTAGTAGACCTATGGCATAGCTTTGTGGTTTACTGGAATTTTCTTAGGCCTTGGTAAACTTTGGTAAACTTTGACCTATATATAATGGTAAACTTTGATGTATATTGAATGGTAAACTTTGGTAAACTTTGACCTATATATAATGGTAAACTTTGGTAAACTTTGACGTACATAGATTAGTAAACTTTGGTAAACTTTGACGTACATAGATTAGTAAACTTTGGTAAACTTTGGTATCCACAGAACTTTGATATTTGTGTTATTGTGGAAATTCTGAATCAACATTTGGTTTTTCCAGATCATGTTCGTCTGTCCGTCCACCAATATATTCATTAACCTCTATCTCACCTTTGGTCTAAATATCATCAAACCTTATATACGGGGTTATGGTACCTCAGGGGTGGTTCTCAGGGGGATGGTAATAATCAGGGGGTTTAAATAAGGGGGAAGGAGGGTATTACATCGTACGCCCGCCAGCATTACACTATCATAGCGTGTGATTGGCTGGGCAGGTAGACTCGTGACCAACCAGCAGTTCTTAAAGTGTCGTACTGCAATGAGATCAGTGTATGTCTGGTAGTGATGATTTGTCGTAAAAGAAGAGAGAGAGTTGTTTCTTATCTCACTCTCACTATCTCTCTATCTCTCTCTCACTCGTCCTTTTTTCTCTTCCTCTCAACCTTCCTTCCCTGCCTACCTTCCTCTACCATTCATCACAGTACCTTTCTTCCTCCCTCCTCCATTACCTCCCTATCTCCCTATCTCCCTATCTCCCTACCTCCCTCCCTACCAGCCAATAACACCTCGCTCCATCATCTATCACAGTACCTTCTCCCTTCCCTCCCTTCCCTTCCACCCTACATCCCTCCCTCTCTCTGTAATCCATCCCTCTTCCCCCCCCTTCGCCCTCCCCTTCCTCCTTCCAGTCCTCCCCCCCCTACTCTCCCTCCCCATCACACGGAGGATCAGCATCACAGTGTAAAAAATATAGATTCTCAAGGCTTAAAGGCGACAGTAATCCAACATCTCTTTATATTACTTAAGCTGTGTGTGTATGTGTGTGTGTGTGTGTGTGTGTGTGTGTGTGTGTGTGTGTGTGTGTGTGTGTGTGTGTGTGTGTGTGTGTGTGTGTGTGTGTGTGTGTGTGCTGCAGCTCTCTTTTTTCCAGTAAGATTAATACAACTAACTTAGCTAATTGTCCTTCTTTTTTACCTTCTCCTTCTTCCTTCTCCTTCTTCCTCCTTCTCTTCCCTCTTACTCCTTCTCATCCTCCTTACTATAAACCTGCCTTAAGTCATTTTTTCCTCGTAAATAAAGATGTAAAGGAACACAGCTAGACAGGGTAGAGTCTCCGTGCAGTATTGACGCCATTTTGTCCTCAGTCAACTAAAGTGAGCCAATTACATACGTTCTCACATCTCTAGTTACGACGAAAATTTAACTTAAGAATTTTTGAGAATCTAAAATTGTGTCGTAACTTAAGTGAGTCAGTTAAATACGTTCTGTTATCTCCAGTTCTTTGTGTCGTAAGTTAAGTGAGTCAGTTAAATACGTTCTGTTATCTCCAGTTCTTTGTGTCGTAAGTTAATTGAGTCAGTTAAATACGTTCTGTTATCTCCAGTTCTTTGTGTCGTAAGTTAATTGAGTCAGTTAAATACGTTCTGTTATCTCCAGTTCTTTATGTCGTAAGTTAATTGAGTCAGTTAAATACGTTCTGTTATCTCCAGTTCTTGTGCTCATAAAGCACTTGAGTCAGTTAAATACGTTCTGTTATCTCCAGTTCTTTGTGTCGTAAGTTAAGTGAGTCAGTTTAATACGTTCTGTTATCTCCAGTTCTTTATGTCGTAAGTTAATTGAGTCAGTTAAATACGTTCTGTTATCTCCAGTTCTTTGTGTCGTAAGTTAAGTGAGTCAGTTTAATACGTTCTGTTATCTCCAGTTCTTTGTGTCGTAAGTTAATTGAGTCAGTTAAATACGTTCTGTTATCTCCAGTTCTTTGTGTCGTAAGTTAATTGAGTCAGTTAAATACGTTCTGTTATCTCCAGTTCTTTATGTCGTAAGTTAATTGAGTCAGTTAAATACGTTCTGTTATCTCCAGTTCTTTGTGTCGTAAGTTAAGTGAATCAGTTTAATACGTTCTGTTATCTCCAGTTCTTTGTGTCGTAAGTTAATTGAGTCAGTTAAATACGTTCTGTTATCTCCAGTTCTTTGTGTCGTAAGTTAATTGAATCAGTTAAATACGTTCTGTTATCTCCAGTTCTTTGTGTCATAAGTTAAGTAAATCCAACAGTTACATACGTTTATATAGATCAAGTCAGGTGGAAAATGTGACACATGAAAGATTGACTAAACCCCCGGACAAAAGCTTATAGAAAACGGGGACTTATTGTAGAAGGGAAACTACTCAAAGTGAGATTAACCTTTGATTCTGTCGCAACTTTTTAAAACTTTTACCCCGGGCGAAATATTTGTCCCTGTTATTTCTATTTCTCTCGTTTATTTGTTTGACTTTATATTTTTCTTTTCTTTCTGTTTTTTTTCTTTTTTTTTTTTTTTGAGGGGGGATTTATGTGTTTTGTGATTAAATACAGGCAGACAGACAGATACACACACAGTTAGACAGATATGAAAAACGCACATAGGAAACATACACAGCTCAAGATGAATTATTATTGATACGCACACACTCTTCTTTCTCACTCTCTCTTTCTCTCTCTCTCTGTCTATTAATTTGGCTACATTTTAAAAAGCGAAATAAGTAAAAGTGTAAATCGTAATGTAAATCGCAACAGCAGGACTCTTTTATTTGCATCAGTGGAAAAGTTGCAAACAGACGAGTGAGTGAGAGGGTGAGTGGAGTGAGTGAGTGAGTGGAGTAAGGGAGGAGTGGGTGAGTGAGTGAGTGGGTGGAGTGGAGGAATGAGGGTGGAAAGTGAGGTAACAGGCAGATCACATTATTGAACACACATTACCAGCACAGGGCTTCCAACTTGTGCGTGGTCTGAGGTAGAGAGTTTGTGGTGTGTGTGTGTGTGTGTGTGTGTGTGTGTGTGTGTGTGTGTGTGTGTGTGTGTGTGTGTGTGTGTGTGTGTGTGATAATAATAATAATAATAAACGGTATATTAATAGAGTTGCAACCGGTGGCTGTGTGTGTGTGTGTGTGTGTGTGTGTATTTTAACACATACATAACCATCGTGCATGGTCGAGGTTCCATTTGTTTGCTAATATACAGTTACAAGAGATAATTGTGTATGAATACATGAATATATGTGTGTGTCTCTGTGTGTATATTGGTGTGTGTGTGTGTGTGTATGTGTGTATATGTCTGTGTATGTGTGTGTCTGTGTGTGTATATAGGTGTGTGTGTATAGGTGTGTGTGTATGTGTGTGTATATGGCTGTGTATGTGTGTGTATGTGTTTATAAGTATTTTTGTGTACATAAGCATCTGTATGAATCAACTAGCACCCAACTAGCACTATTAACTAGCCTACATGTTTACCAGTCCACTAGTCCATTCACACTAGTTAGATACTAGACTGTTTCTAATAGTCAACTAGAGCTATTTGTCAACAGTCATCTACTAGGTACCTTTAGAATAGATTAAACTAGCACAAGATAATAGCACAGTTAGTTCCCAGCCTCCAGTTAGTTCCCAGCCTCCAGTTAGACCGGTGGACTGGTGACAGCACAGCGCCCCTTTTTCTCTGACTCAAATTTCGTCCATTTTACTCAAAATCAGGACAGTGGGAACCTAGCTCTCTTTTTATTTCCCTCTATCTCTCTTTATCTCCCTCTCTCTCTCTCTCTTTATTTGTCTATGTCTCTGTCTCTGTCTCTCTCTCTCTCTCTCTCCTGCCTCTCTTGGGAGTCTTCTAAAATCCTTTTCCCCTCACCTCCTGTTCCCCTCTTCACCCTTCTCTTCCTCTTCCTCCTCCTTCTTCTTCCCCTCAGGTAAATTCCGGAGCTTTGGGACCTTTTAAAGAAGGATAAAGTTTCTCTCTCTCTCTCTCTCTCTCTCTCTCTCTCTCTCCTCTCTCTCTCTCTCTTTTCTTTTCTTTATCTCTCTCTCTCTCTCTCTCTCTCTCTCTCTCTCTCTCTCTCTCTCTCTCTCTCTCTCTCTCTCTCTCTCTCTCTCTCTCTCTCTCTCTCTCTCCTCTCTCTCTCTCTCTCTCTCTCTCTCTCTCTCTCTCTCTCTCTCTCTCGCGTTCACGTTATAAATATTTAACACCTTATCACAAAACGTTAATTCTTCATTCTTCCAAACATTAAAATTTATATTATTTATGGATACAGTAAACCCTCTCAACAACGGACTTCTCATTACCGGATATTCTCATAAACGGAATCCTCCCAATATCGGACCTGGTTTGTAAGAATGAATCCGGTATTGGGAGGTTTTACTGTAGATGAAATAGACATCCAGATTTATCAGTAGAGCAATGGATACAATAAACCCTTTCAATAACGAACATTTCATTACCGGACATTCTCAATAACGGAATCCGATATTGGGTGAGTTTACTGCATTTGAAATAAACACACAAGTTTCTCAGTAAAGCAATGGATACACTAAACCTTCTCAATAACGAACATCTCATTACCGTACATTCTCAATAACGGAATCCAGTATTGGGAGGGTTTACTGGTGATAACGGACCTGGAAACACTTTACCTTGTTGTAGGTGAAGGATGAGAGGAACCCGATAGTGATGTTTTCCGTAGAGGTGTCGTAGCGAGGACTGATGTAGTTATTGATGTAGAATTCTTGTTTTTTGGACGAATTCTCCAGTTGTTTCACACTACATTTCTCCTCTATACTGATGATGTCTTCTGAGCTGGTGTTGGAGGAGGAGGAAGAGGAAGAGGAAGAGGAGGAGGAGGAGGAGAATGAGAGGAAAGGTTGTTTTAATGAAGAGGAGGAAGAGGAGAATAAGAGGTAGGGTTGTTTTAATGAAGAGAAGGTAGAAGTTGTGGAAGCTGATGTGAGGGAAGGAAAACCAGAAGATAAAGAAGAGGAGAAGGACAAAGAAGACACACCAGACCTTATATAAACACCACTACGACTCTCTCCTCGTCTTAATTCCGGGTTCCAGATAGTACGAGTTACCACAGGGTGTGAGGCGGGGTCGTGTGGGTTGCGTTGTGTTGAGGAAGCCACAACAGTCACACCACCCGGCCACACCCATATACACAGTGTGGATAACAGAGCCACCAGGAGTGTATTTAATAGAGCCATGGTGTTGCTTAGGCCTGATGGGGGAAACTTTTTGTAATTTTGTAACTTTTTTGTATTTTTCTGTAACTTTTTTGTATTTTTCTGTAACTTTTTTGTATTTTTCTGTAATTTTTTGTATTTTTCTGTAACTTTTTTGTATTTTTCTGTAACTTTTTGTATTTTTCTGTAATTTTTTGTAATTTTCTGTAACTTTTTGTAATTTTTTAACTGTATTTTTTCTGTAACTGTATTTTTTTGTTTCTGTACTTTGGTATTTTTTGGTTTTTAACGTTTTGTATTTTTTTTTAATTTTTGTATTTTCTTGTTTCTGTAATTTTTTATTTTTTTCTGGATTTTTTTTATTTTTCTGTAACTTTTTGTATTGTTTTTGTAAAGTTTGTTTCTGTTTGCAAAGTTCATGTACACTTTGGTTTGTAACTTGTTTATACTTTTGTTTACTAACGTTTCAATCACTTGTTTGCTAACGTTCTCCAGCTGATGTTTGTTTATTTGTTTACACTATTGTTTACAAACGTTTTCCAGCTGATGTTTGTTTATTTGTTTACACTTTTTTACAAACGTTTCTCCAGCTGTTTGTTTACCTGTTTACTATTGTTTACTACCATCCAGCTCCCCAGTCCTTCAAAACACGTCTCAAAGTTTTTTTTACAAAGTTTATTCTTTACCAACTGAGAACTGAAACTTTTTAGAACTTTTACGTATGTCATAGACGTTCCTGGAATTTTTAAACTGAACTGAGATTCTTGAAAGTTCTATAAATTTCAGAATAACGTTTGAACTATTGGAACTTTCGACTCACGGGAACTTTTTCTATTTAAACTAAGATATACGTAAAGTTTTGGAACTTTTTTGGAACTTTTAAAACCTATGTCTTGTGTTTTACGAACTTTTACGTGTTTTATGAAAATTCTTGGAACTTTGTCTCTCTGCTTCAGTTACTGTGTTTATCATCAAGTTTAACGGGTAAGTTTCACGGGTCTTACGTCACCTTAACACTCGTCTGGCCTCTAGGTTAGGTGTATAGAAACGTTCTGAGGTCAAGTTCGAACGTTTTATTTGACCTTAAGGGTAGTATGAGGAAAGTCGGCCGTCCAATCAGAGACGTTTGAGGAAAGTCGGCCGTCCAATCAGAGACGTTTGAAGAAAGTCGGCCGTCCAATCAGAGACGTTTAAGGAAAGTCAGCCGTCCAATCAGAGATGTTTGTGGAAAGTCGGCCGTCCAATCAAAGACGTTTGAGGAAAGTCGGCCGTCAAATCAGAGACGTTTCAGGAAAGTCGGCTGTCCAATCAGAGACGTTTGTGGAAAGTCGGCCGTCTAATCAAAGACGTTTGAAGAAAGTCGGCTGTCCAATCAGAGATGTTTGTTCAGTGAGTATTTGTATTCAGGACGCCTCACACGCACCGTTTTCTCTTAACTAAGTTTCTTGAAGAGTTTCCCCTCAACTGCCTCACTGACAGAGAACGGAGAGATTTGAGGCAGTCTTGAAGACAGTCCACGTGATTACTTTTATACTTTTATATACTTTTGGAAGTGTGTAAAGAAGCGTATATACTTTTCTTAGTTTGGAGACTGGTTGATGATTATTTTTATACTATTATATAATTTTGTAACTTTTAAGATAATCGCTTTAATATTTTCACTATTTTGGTCATTTTTAATAGATTTTTCAGTATCAATATTTTATAAGAAAAGTATTAAAAAGTTTTGCCATAATTTTCTTCATAAATTTACGAGAAAAACAAAAATTTTAGACTTTTATCTCATGTATATTTTTATAAACTTTTAATCTATACTTTTTCCCATTCACTAAAAAATAAAGAATAACAAGAATGATTGAATGAACGATTAGATTCTCTCATTTCTTCTAATTCTTCTTTACTGTCGGTTTGTCTGTGTCTAACTTTCGTTTCTTGTTTACAAACTTTTCCTCGACTGTCACAAAGTTTGTTATCTTTTGGTGTAAACTTTGCAATATTTTTTTGTTAGTTTTTGTATTTATTTATATTTCTTTGTTTATTTTTACTTCTTATCTCTCTTTGTGTCTTTATCGAAGTTTCTCTCTTTCTCTCTTTCTCTATATATTTCTCTTTCTTTACTTATGTCCTCTCTCTCTCTCTCTCTCTCTCTCTCTCTCTCTCTCTCTCTATTAATTAAAGGGTTAAATTAATTATATTTTACCTGTACTAATTAAAGGTAAATTACCTTTCTTTCTAATTCGACTTAATTTGGTTTTTCTTTATCGTTTGTTTAGGTTTCTTAATCTTGTTTGTTTCCTTGTTCGTGATTGGTCGGGTCGTATGTGATTGGTCGTTAAATTGTTCGTGATTGGTCGTTAATCTGTTCGTGATTGGTCGGTTCGTATGTTATTGGTCGTTAAATTGTTGTGATTGGTCGGTTCGTATGTTACTGGTCATTAAATTGTTCGTGATTGGTCGGGTCGTATGTGATTGGTCGTTAAATTGTTCGTGATTGGTCGTTAATCTGTTCGTGATTGGTCGGTTCGTATGTTATTGGTCGTTAAATTGTTCGTGATTGGTCGGTTCGTATGTTACTGGTCATTAAATTGTACGTGATTGGTCGTTAATCTATTCGTGATTGGTCGGTTCGTATGTGATTGGTCGGTATTCTGTTCGTGATTGGTCGGTTTACTATTCGCGTTGCTAGGAGACTGACGTTACTGCTAGGACAGGAGACTGACTGTACTACTAGGCCGACAATATTGCTAGGAAGATGCTAGGATGCCACTTCAACTAGGAAAATGACATTACTGTACTAGCAAGACCCTTAAAAGCAGCTATTTAACTCGTCTAAACTAAAGTATCTACTAGCTAGGTACCTCTAACCATCATTAGATTAATAGCTAACTAGTGAGAAGATCCTGGCTATTATTATTATCATTCTTATCTTTCTATGCTATTTTGTTATCATTTTTCTTGTGTTTTTTTCGTTTTTATCACTTGTTTTTTTGCGTTTTTCTTAGTCTTCATTCTTTTGGTTTTATCCTTTATCCTTATGGCAAAATCCACCAGTCACTCACCAGTATTCCACCCAGTCACTCACCAGTAATCCACCCAGTCACTTACCAGTAATCCACCCAGTCACTCACCAGTAATCCACCCAGTCACTCACCAGTAATCCACCCAGTCACTCACCAGTAATCCACCCAGTCACTCACCAGTAATCCACCCAGTCACTCACCAGTAATCCATGCAGTCCTCATCACTTACCACCCAGTCACTCATCACTTACCGCAGTCACTCACCAGTAATCCACAGTCACTCACCAGTAATCCATGCAGTCAAATCACCACTTACCACCCAGTCACTCCTCACCAAAAAAATTACTCCCCAAATATCCACCTTTTTCTACCTGTATAACCTTTGACCTTTCATGACCCCTCCTGACCTTTCAAACAACTTTTCAAACTTTTTTTTTACTCTGGCGCCACAGCACAAAGGAATCACTAAGTCAAAAGTATATTTTTTTTTTCCTTGTCTGCTGTTCTGACTTGGCTTGATTTTAAGCCAATGTTTTCGCTGTTTGTGTTGTCTTATGGACGGGAATCAGGATGTGTTCCCTTTGACAGGTGGTGAAAGAGGTTGACGGGAGGAGAGAGACGGGAGGAGAGAGAGGGGTGGGAGGAGAGATGCAAGGGTGGAGAGAGACGGAAGGAGAGAGGTGGGAGGAGAGATGGAAAGAAAGAGAGAGAGAGAGGGAGGAGAGAGGTGTGGGGAGGAGAGGCTAAGATGGATAGAGACGGGAAGAGAGACAGACTTGTTTATTGAGGACTTGAAACAGGGAGAGATGCTGGGGGGGGGGGTCTGTGAATTTCTGTCGTTCTCAGTAAAAGGAAATCTCGTTTTCGTGAGGTTGAGAAAGAGATTCCCAGGAGAGAAATGTTTGGTAAGAACTCGAGAGTGAGAGAGAAAGTGAGTGAGTGAGAGAGAAAGTGAGTGAGTGAGTGAGAAACGTGCTTATTGAGGAGTCGAAACCGGTTGAGATGTTGCTTGGGTCTTTCTCAATAAAATGAAAGCTCTTCTTCCCCTTGAGCTGAGAGAGAGGCTGAGAGAGACAGATGAGGAAGATTGAAAGACGTGTAGTAAGAACTCTAGATAGTGAGAGACACTTTACTTGCCCTCTCAGTTTGTATTAGTGTCTCTTGAACGGGTTGAGAGAGATATTGGAAGTCGTATTAGTCCGGTTTACTGAGAAATATGCCTCCTATTCCACCTATTTACCGAGAAAGATGCCTCCTATTCCGGTTTACCGAGAAAGATGCCTCCTATTCCACCTATTTACCGAGAAAGATGCCTCCTATTCCTCCTATTTACCGAGAAAGATGCCTCCTATTCCACCTATTTACCGAGAAAGATGCCTCCTATTCCGGTTTACCGAGAAAGATGCCTCCTATTCCACCTATTTACCGAGAAAGATGCCTCCTATTCCTCCTATTTACTGAGAAAAATGCCTCCTATTCCTCCTGTTTGCCGAGGAAGATGTTACCGTCGAGGACCACTTGAGTGAGGGCGATAATGAGGACGAGCAGTACAAGTGCCACGAGAAGCACTAATGGCTCCAACATCTCCATCGCGAACAATTACATTTTGACTTAGTTCTCCCTTAAAAGTTTTCTATGATGCAACGTTTTCTCTGTTAATCAACGTTTTCTATGATGTACAATGTTTTCTATAATGTACAGTACAATGTTTCCTATGATATACAATGTTTTCTCTGATGCACAATGTTTTCTATCAATAAAATATTTAGGGGTACAGAAGGTAATTTTTTTCGATTTTAAATATTGTGGAAAAAATGGTGTTTAGAGCAAGTTTTGAGGCGTTTAAAATATTTTTAATGTGACCCTCAGTATTTTTTTTTCGATTTTAATATGACGTGAAAAAACTGGTAAATATTAGTGTTAAAGAATCAATTTATTTCATGATTTTTTCTTAGTTTTTTTTATCCATTATGTTTTTCTTTTTTCTTGAGATTGTCGTTGGTATAAAAAGATTATTATCTATATAAACCGGAAACTGTGATGGTTTTGTTTATATAAGGCGGAAATAGCTGTTTATTACCTTCAAGTTATTTATTAATCTT